TTTCTCTATCAGTGCGTCTTTGTCAGAGGTTGTTTAGTGGGACCCCTCAGACCAGGGAGAATTTGCAGAAGAGGGCTCCCCTGTTCTGAATTCCATCTTCTTTGAGCAGGCAATGGGTCTCTAGGGTGGGATCTTAGCCTCCCAGTTCCTGCCCGGAGGAAAGGAGAGGGCGTGGCTGAGCTGGAATTCAGAAAACAAAAAACGGAGGCTTACCCTGAACTCTCTTTTCTTCCCTCTCCTTTCTATCACTGCAGATCAAGATTGAGGACCTACTGCAACTATCACAATGGGCAGCAAAACCTTGCCAGCACCGGTGCCCATTCACCCGTCCCTGCAGCTCACCAACTACTCCTTCCTTCAGGCAGTAAATGGCCTGCCCACGGTGCCCTCGGACCACCTGCCCAACCTATATGGTTTCAGTGCATTGCACGCTGTGCACCTGCACCAGTGGACGCTGGGCTACCCGGCAATGCACTTGCCACGCTCCTCTTTTTCCAAAGTACCAGGCACCATGTCCAGCCTGGTGGACGCACGCTTCCAGCTGCCTGCCTTTCCCTGGTTCCCTCATGTCATCCAACCCAAGCCAGAGATCACCGCTGGGGGCAGCGGACAAGCACTCAAGACCAAGCCTCGCTTTGATTTCGCTAACCTGGCCTTGGCCGCCACGCAAGAAGATCCGTCCAAGCTTGGCAGGGGGGAGGGCCCTGGCTCCCCCACTGGTGGGCTTGGCGTCCTCCTCGATGTGACCAAGCTGTCTCCAGAAAAAAAGCCCACGAGGGGTCGCCTGCCTTCCAAGACCAAGAAGGAATTTGTCTGCAAGTTCTGTGGCCGCCACTTCACCAAGTCCTACAACCTGCTTATCCATGAGCGGACACACACCGATGAGCGGCCCTACACCTGTGACATCTGCCACAAAGCCTTCCGGAGGCAAGACCACCTACGGGACCACAGGTGCGGCGGCACTGCGGGTGGCCCAAGAGAAAGTTGTCTGCCTGCCTCTGGCTTCTAGGTCCTCTTCCCTAATGAGGCTCATAAGATCCCCTAAGGGGTCCAATTCTCCGGAGCTTCTGGTGGTTCCTAAAATCAGGAAGGGAAACACAGGAGGCTCAGGGATAGGCCTGGCAGCCCGGTGGAGGTAACATGGGAATGAACAGGATCTAAGACTGTCAGGTCTCCATGGGCTTCAGACAAACAGCCTCTTCAGCCCCTTCTTATGTTTTTAGAGCTCGCTGATGATGGAAAATGTGACACGTGAGAATTTGCTTGAGATATGTAAAATGTGCAACTAGCGTGCCTGAGACACTGAAGTTTTAGTGTTATTTAATTGTAAGTAATTTTGGTTTTAATAGCCATGCCTGTGCCTGCAGCTCTAACTCCCTGGGCTTACCTGGAGTGCTGACCTAAGGGCTGACAGGGAGGTCTTCCTTGTTCTCTTCAAAAAGGCAGGTTGTCTGTCTGTCTGGCTGGACTGTTTGAGGATCAGGCTTTGCTCAATCATCTCTATCACCTTCCCCTACTCCATCCAGGAACTCAGCAGTTTGCCTGATGGCCACTCAGTACCCACGGCCCCTTTTTTCCTTTGCGGGCCAAGTGCCTCATAGCAGTGGGAGGGGGATCATGGGTAACTGTGAATGACATTGCAGCATTTTGCAAGGAATAACTTTCTGTCTGTTTCTGTTCTCAGATATATTCACTCTAAAGAGAAGCCTTTCAAGTGTCAAGAGTGTGGAAAAGGATTCTGCCAGTCCAGGACTCTCGCTGTCCACAAGACACTGCATTCACAGGTGAAGGAGCTCAAAACTTCCAAGATCAAATGCTAAACAGAACCCAGGGTCACTGAGACCTGGGCCAGGCCGCCTTCTGCTCCATAGGTACCAGAAGCCAAAGGCAACTCGACTCTGGTGGGCAGAGGGAGGGGCGTTGGGGACCGTCCTCCACCCCAACAATGCCCCCTGGGTCTGCAGCGCACGCGGTGCTCCAAACCGGTCCTAGGCCGCGACTGCCCTGGCGCCTCCCCCAGGACGCGGCTAAACTTTTGGCCAAAAGGCGGTACTCACGGTACTCATGTGGCGGAAGGGAATCTGCATTAAGAAAAGAACGAAAGCTCCGTGGAGCCGCAGCGGCGCCTCTCCCAGAAGTATTACTTTTTCTATTGTTATTTTATACGTTTTCTTTATTATTATTTTTTCTTTGACCATATAAGCTTGTAAGTCTGACTGCGGAGAGAGGGGAGCAGAAAAGAAGTTCTGCGCTCTGGCAGCTTCCCACACCCCTCTTCTGTCCCCATCCCCACCCCCGGGGAGCCTGCAAACGTGTAATCCTAGTATCTGCTTCAGCAGCCAGGCCCAGAGACCGCAGGCTGGGACGTCCCGCCCCACGCCCCACTCCCACCGCGCAGCCGGTGGCGGACTCCCGGACTCCCAGACTCAGACCGCGGGCAGGGACCTCGAGCCCTGGGGCAGGAGGCGACCAGTCCTCCCGCTCCCTTGCTCCGCTGCCGCGTCACCGCCAGCGAGCCGCCGGCCAGGAGCCGGACGTCGTATTGCGATTGGCACTTTATGCTGACCATCGGTAACGGACATTTATCACTGGAGGTTTTTAACTATTAAATAAACGGTTATTTTACAGGCATTGCAGAATGAATAGTTTCCCTACGAAACCCATGAAGTCAATGGCTCCTTTTTTTGAGTCTCCAACCTGTCCTGCTTCCCTTAGGGTGGCAGGGCTGGCATGGGTGGGGAAACCCCCCTCCTGATGGCGCTCTGCCCCTGTCCCAGCCCAAGTTTATTTTTTACTCCTCTCCTCTGCTTTGGTGTTAAGATCTCGGTCTCCCCACTCCTCATCTCCGAAGGTTGTGCGTTTACCAAAAAAGAAAACAAAATAAAAACACCTGAGTTTGACACCAACACACCCAGCCTTGAGAAATCTCAGCGTCTCTAATGCCTGAGTCCCAAAGGGTCCACAAGGGGACAGAATATCAACCCCTTACACACACACACAAAACTACCATCAAAAGCCTCCCTATTGGTCTCGGGCTTCTGGTTTGATATGGGAAGGAGAGTTTCACAGTCTCAAAACTTTACTGTCCCCTGTCCCCCGGGGCCTCAGCACCCGTGTGTAATCACAAGATGAGTTGCTGCCTCCACAACGCTCCAAACCTGGATTCTCCTTCCTGAGTACCCCCACTCTGGTTTCTGGTGGGGGGATGACGGAGCCACCCCCGCCACCCCCGCGAAGATTCTCTGCAGTTTGAAAGCCTAGTCAGGAATGGCGGGGGGTGGGCTCTCTGGGAGGCCGGGACGCCTAGGAAGAGAAATCTGAGTCCTTGCTCCACAAGTTGAACCTTCCCCGGGGCATCTAGTTTTCCCACAGTTAGAGGCCAGGCCGCCGGGGTTGTCCTGCTTGGGGAAGGGCGGGGCTCCCCCAGCTCCAGAGCCCTGACCGCGGGACCGCGCAGTCCACCAATCGCGGACTCCGGGGCTTCAATGCCCGGAGGGCCGTGCCTGCGGCGACGTCTGGCCACAATTTCCCTGCGACAGAGACCAAAAACCTCAGCCTCGAGCAGGGCCCTGCGGGCAGAGAAAGTGAGCCAGGGCTGCAGCAGTTAAACCACTCTCTCCTTTCACTGCTCAAGCCCCCTTATTCCGTGAATCCTTCCTGGCCTAGTGGGGCGAGGGCTCCGCGGCCCAGGAACCCCAAACTTGGCACTGAGACCTCCGCCTGACCAGCGCAAACGGGCTCGGTCTCCTCGACCAGAGAGGTGCTGCCCCCTGCTGGATAGGTTGGAGCAGCGGCCCAGGGCTTGGGGCACCTCGCTGTGCCCCAGGAACGGGGTCTGCTCAGAACTCCTGTAACTCCTTGCCTTACACTGTCAGCCAGGCATCTAGGTGTCTGGTCTCGTGCTCAAAACCTTCTTGATGGGTTCCAGGGTCTCCTGTGCGTAAGCCTCAGGGCGCTGCCCGGTCAGGGCTATCCTGTGGGATCCCGGCTAATCCAACGAAAATGAAATCCCTTTCTTTGAGACTTCGGACCTCTGGGAGTGTAGAAGGGTAGTCAGTGGGTTTGGGGCTTTAACGTTCTGGGCCCAAGGAGCACTGGCTGTGGTATCCTCTGCTTAGCCATGGCTTTTGCTGGGCTCAATTGCATGGACCATAACGATTCCTTTAGGAGACCCCGGGAGGTTGGCTCCAATAACAGGGAGGTGTATGGTCACTCACACACACACAAACACACACACGCTAAGGACAGCTATGGGCACTACGGAGGACCTAAAAAAAGAAAGCACTCCCTAATCGCTTTGCTCTTTCTGGGATTCCTTCTTTCCTGGAGATTGAGTACAGCTGCTTCCTCCTCTCCTCTCACATTCCTTCACCTCCTCAGACACACCAGCCTCTGCCTTTAGCCAAGCTCAGGACATCATACATGCTAGCCCGGCTCAGGACATCATACATGCTAGCCCGGCTCAGGACATCATACATGCTAGCCCGGCTCAGGACATCATACATGTTAGCCCGGCTCAGGACATCATACATGCTAGCCCGGCTCAGGACATCATACATGCTAGCCCGGCTCAGGACATCATACATGCTAGCCCGGCTCAGGACATCATACATGCTAGCCCGGCTCAGGACATCATACATGCTGGGAAATGGGAGGTCTGCCTGCCCTGTCTTCTCTTTCTGGCATACCCATGTCCGGCACTGTGAATCCCTGCTTGACCCAAGCCCTGTAGCTGACAGATTTTCTAAATCAAGTGTGGGGGCCGGCAGGTGGCATGGTGGTTAAGGGCGCTGGACTCCCTCATGGTTGACCATGGTTTGAGTCCTGAATCTGGTGGCTTGCTTTCTCACTTTCCGTCTCTCTCTCTCTCTCTCTCTGTGTCCCTTTCTGGTCAAATTAAAATATATAAATGAATAAATAAACTTTTAAAACTCCCACAAAAGAACAATCAGAATGTGTTTCCAGTATAGCATACTGAATGAGGGTGGGGGACTAGGGGGTTGGGGGGGTTAGGGAGTGGGGGCAGGGTGCTGTCTAGAGACCGCCGAGACCCCTCACAATTCCTCACCTGGCCATCCTGGTAGACCCAGAACCACTTGTCAGTTGAGCTCCAGGCAGTGAGTCAAAGATTGTGCAGGGACAGTACATCAGGCAGGGCAGGGCTGTGGGCCATCTCATAGATCCTGCACAAGCTACTATTCCTAGGCGATATGGTTGGGGGCAATTTCCCTGCTTATATTCAAGGAGGATTACAAGAAAATGTAATTGAGAGGGCCAGAAATGGGTGGGTTTTCTTGTCTGCCCCAACTTTTTCCCCTACATGCCTAGAAAGTTTCAGCTCCCCTCTCCTCTCTCATGCATCCCCTTTCCTCTCAATGTGCTTCTTAGCTCTGAGCATCTGTTCTCTGGCACCCAGTTGCTATCACAGGTATGGAAGGAGGCCTTGGGCTCTGGCTGGCTGGAGCTCAAGGGCCCCTTCCCAAAGCTAGTAGGCCTGTGCTTTGTGTGCAGATTTTGGGAATCTACTGGGTCTCAGACCTCTTGGCAAGACTGCTAGAAAGTGCCAGAAACCCTGGTGCACCTGAAGAAAGTAGGCTCCACCTGGGGGAAGTACAGCCCCCAAGGCTTCCTAGCAGGGGAAGGTTCAGGTTCCACCTCCCCGCAATGTAGCTAGGGGACTGGCACCCGATAAGGGGCGTTTTCCCGTGAACCTCCTTGCTTCCGGATTCATTGCTCATTTTGGGGGCGGAGGGACATTGCAGGGAGTTGTAGTGTTTAGGCGGAGCCTGCAGCTGCAACAACGTGTGACCTGTGAGATCATAAGCCCCCTAAAATCTTGGTATTGGGAGGGCCAGCTCAAAGGCATCACGTCCCACCTCCGAGAGCTGTTGAGCGGTGTGACGTCACGGCTTCCGCGCTCCAAAATAATGACGTCCCACCGCGCTCTGGAAGCGTAAGGGCTCCACATGTTACAACGGTGTCCCATTTACGCAGCTTTCCAACGTCACACATAGGCTCCGCCTAGAACCATGATATACACACTTCCCGCCCGATCCAGAGAATCCTGCTACAGAGACACCGCAAACTAGTTCGTCCGCACAGACAGGATCCGCGGACCCGGAGCGCTGGCAGGGTCCCAGAGTGAAGGGCGGTGCCAGTTAGCGCCCTCCTCCCGAACTGGGCGGCTTACCATGTTCTCCCGGCCGGCGGGGTTTCCGCGCACTGGCAGCGGTCGCATACTCGCCCCGCCCACTTCGGCCCCCCCTTCCCGTTTCCCCGCCCACAGCGAGCTCGGCGCGCAGGCGCAGAAGAAACAGGTCGTCAGGGGTGCTGCTGGAGAGCAGTTCCGAGCCACGGTGCTGGGAAATCGCTACCCAGTCTCCAGCTTTCAGGAATCGCAAACTTAGGGGGACAGTGCCTCAGCCACTGGCGTATGTGCGTGCTAGAGACGCAGATAAGGAAGAGCTCTGAGTTAATGCGGGCTGGAGCGCCCGAACTTGGATCACCTTGTCGTCTCACGTGTCCTGCAGCCTTAGTCCGACTGAGGTCCCTGGGATCAGAGGTGGCAGGGATGGGCCGGCGGGACCCAGTTCAGAAAGTCCACTGTGGTCCCAGCCCTTTCCAACAAGGTCTCTGAGACAGAGATCTGGGTCCCCGCCTAGTGGAACACAAAGGCAAGACCTTCCTCTCCTATCCACCCTTTCAACTCGTTCATCCCTTCTTGCTGAGCCGCTTTTAGAGTCAAACTGGTGGTCGGACCCAGTTACCACGTTTCAGAGGGAAAATTCGCTCCAGACGTGAGTTATTAGCTTGGGGTCAAATCTCGTGTCAGTGGCAGAGGAAAAATTAGAAGCTGTGTGTTCCTTGAGATGAGGGTGACGGAAGACCCAGTTCTAGCTTTACTTGAAACAAGCTTTGGGCATGTCTGGCCTTCCCAAAGCCTGTGTTCTCTGCAGTGGAAATACTGCTCTCCCCACCTACCTCATTCAGTTATATAAAGGTCAAAGTCATACATATTTTGCCGAAAATGTATCCATTTCTTGAACCAAACGATGGGCTGTAGAACAAAGTTGACTTTTATGAAACACCTTGTAAGTATGACTAGAAATGCCTCTCCCAGCTTCCTGAAGTAATCTGCCTCCCAAATTTCATTATTTGCAGGAGAGTCTCCCCCTTAATCATGACCAAAGAATCCTGAAATGGGATGAAAGAGGGAGAAATCACTTGGAAATTTATTTGGCCTGGTGGTCTTGAAATCTCTGTAAAAAAATTGAAAGCTAATTTTCCAGTTCCATGAGAATCAATGGATTAATCAATTCTCAAATTGTGTTGGTTGAGTGGTTTGTAGCATATACCCAGACAGTAAATTCCAACCTGACGTGCAGGGCAGGGCAAGGGGCCTCTGTATTTGACAAGTGTGACTGCATAGATAGGCAGGTGTGCAAACATCGACTTGCAGAGTGAAAGATGCGCTGTGGTTGGAGCTTACTTTGACTTATGCTAGAACATTCTAGCCTAATGAAAAGGAGGTCATGTAACGCTCTTACGTGAAGACATCTGGAGAACCACTCCTCTTGCTGCCATCCCAGTCCTAGCTATTCATCACCATTCCCAGCCATTTTTCCTGGCCGAGGCTCGTTCCAGATCCATCCATGAGAATATAGAAAAATTAATCCAGAAAAGTGGGATGGATGGATGGATGAATAGAATAGACTGAATTTTTGTTTCTTTTTTCCAAACATTGAACTGGCTCTGAGCAGCTCAACTGTCTCTGGGGATGTATAAACCATAATTAACTTAATTTTAGTGTTTGGTTTGATTGAACTCTTTTGCTAGTGAGATAAGATAAGGAGTCCCTGTCATGACAAGGGCAGGGATGGATTGCTTCTGTTATTTACAGAAG